AACTGGTTCTGGGCCTCCCCTAGGTTGACTCGTCGTAAAATGAGTACCTGGTGCAGTGTGTAACATCGCCAACAGGGAGAGAGGTGGTTAGACAGTGCTGGCCACTCCACCCCCTCGGGTGCCGTGCCGGCCTTCATAGGTGCTCGTTAACAGCACTTGTCCCAACAGTCCGTTAAGGCTATACGGTGGATCTTGCCTTTTGCATGTGTCACTGACTGTTCATCGTTGCTCTGGGTTGCGTGGGGCAGGAAGGCGAGCGGAGGTCGGCACAAAGGGGTGGATGAGAGGTCATGGGGGATCAGGCGTGATACACTGGCATGGGTTAAATTCATCAGCGTTTTGTCACCGTTAAAGGAAAGGGCAGCCTGAATAATTCATGCGGTGGTATTTAGCAGCGCTGCTTCTCCGCTCTCATCCTCGGCACCTGAAGACTTAACCGCCAATCCAACGACACCTCCCTCCTCCACTCTTCTCCACCCCCGCCCACCCCCATCCAGCCTCCCCCTCCCCCCTGCACACGCTAGCTGGTTTGCGATGGCGTTTGACAGCTTTAGTAAATTAATCTGGAGACGCTGCCTAATTGATCACTCTCCCTCGGGGATCACCGGCAATGCAGCTGCGCACGTTAACCGATCCGCCGCGGAAACAAATAAGTGCATATATCGTCAACATCGCCATCATCGCCATCATCATCATCCTCACCACCGTTGTTGTCATCGCCATTTATCACTGGGAGATACCACTCAATGTTGGCCAACTGAGTCGGTCGTCATTCGCTTGCCGATCGACCGCTATGATTTTCGCAGCAGATCTCGGCCATCAAATTTGTGCGTGGTTACTCGCACATCGTTTCTCTGTCGTCTTTTTCACGTTTTTTTTTGCTATCCTGCTTGAGTTCAGTGCCCTTCCCCAAAGTACTCCGATCCTTGAAAACGTTGCCCATATTTTTATTTAATGTTCCACAAGCCGATGACCAACCCACCCCGGGAGTGCACCCGCTCTCATCCGGATCTCCCAATCCAAGCAGGGCCTTGCCTGGATTTGCGTTTCGGTGGTGGGTGACCCCCTCCCAGCCTTGCAAATCACAAGTTCTGTAGGCTGTTTGTGTTGTGGGAATTGTTCTACTTTACCCCTCCCCCCCCCATGTCTTCTTAGCGCATGCTTCTGTGCTCTCACCTCATGCTTCAACCCTTCCGCTGTCGCCCATTCTGCTTTGCCATGATCACATCCTCGCCGAATACAGTGGGCGCTGGATATAAGCACACCTTACATAAACACACTTGGTAAGCAACAGAAGCTAACGGTACACTGGTGGGTTCAGAGCAAAGGGTAACTTCTGATTATAAGCATACTTGCACCTGCTCCCAAGCGGGGGGGGGGGGGGGGGGGGGAGTGTTTGCTTGTATTGAGATTCTGCTGCAGAAAACAAAGTTTAGCCCACTTGGGGATTGTGATACTTTCCCTTCTTTTAGTGGGGACGGCAGCCAAAAGAGGGGGTTAATGGACCTGGGCGATCGGCACCGGTGATGCGTGAGATGTGCGCACGCGGGATGAGTGTCTCATCCTCGGGCTCGGGCTAAAGCTGAGCGAAGACTCGCGGCGGGCACACAAGTTTATTATTTGTTTTCGTTTTTTTGCAGACCCTCACCTCATTTGCATTCGTTAGCCGAATTAATCTGCAAGGGCTCTGCGGCCGGGGATGGTGAAAAGCGATGGCGTAATTAATGGCATTACGGTGCGCATTTGGAATAATAATCTGTTTTGCTTTCAGCCGATTACCATCATCTAATAGGATAGTTGGCAGGCGTCTGAACGCTTTTACAAAAATTCATTTGGAATGATGAATTATCCGTGGCAGGGTTGGGGACGGGGAGTGGTGCTTGTGTGGCAGTGGCGGCTGTGACTGCCTCGGTTCCAAAATGTCCGTCGCCTACGGGCCCGAGCAGCGTGAGTTCGAACTCCAAATCCGTGACCTCGCCCTGCCCTTGCCGATGTTGAGCGAGCGTGGCGCTAGGAAGGGCGTGAGCCGCACACAGATTGGACGTGAAGCTGGCGTGTGTGTGTGTGTGTGGAGAGGGTGTTAGCGTTTGTGACACGCACCCCAAAAGAGACACACTGGCCCTCAGCCTCACCGTCGGCATGATCGTCGTCAGCCACGATCAATCCGCTGCCGAGGGCCTCCCCAAGCTGTCTGCCATCTCTCACGGCCCTACAATTTAATAATCCACTGAGCAGCTTCACACGAGCCAGTCTCCGTCGCCTCCATCGCCTCCATCTTAACCAAACGATGATTTTTTTTTATCAGTCTCCTGAGCTCTATATCTCCTTTTCAGAAGTGACTTGGCTTCAAACGATAGCTCAATGAAGTGGCTTATCTGGAAATTCATAGAAGTTAAATAATCTAAGCGCATGTTGATTCTAAATGTAGAGCGGGGACTCGGGAAAAAAATCCACGTCATCACGGAGAGAAAGACATGCGAACTCCAAACATACAACAGGCGTCAGGGTCAGGATCGAACCCACGATCTCCTCTATACCAGGCGAGGTAGTTATCTCGCCACCGTAACGCCCCACGGTCGGCGTCCTCTCGGGTGGGTTCCTCTCCTTGGGCTGCCACTCAGTCCCGGGTCTCGACCACCGGCCATCGTCGCCTTCTTCGCCACACGTCCTGTCCAAGCCTTCTAGCGACGCGTCCTGTCCCAGGCCCCGCTTAATTTTTCTTCACAGCCAGCGTTCAGTACTCAAGTACTTAACCTGTTCACCAAATACACCATACACCCGGTCCTTTTTCTGTCTCTCAATGTAATTCTAAGCAGGAAATCCCCTTTGTCCCACCCCGCAACCACCTTTATCAAAATGATCAATTTTGACCTGAATAGTAATTTTAACGCTCTTAATGCATTTAATTAATTATTTGCCGTAGGCCATGGTGTACGGGGGGGGGGAATAACAAAACGTGCTCCATTAATTCTGTCATGAATGGTGTGTCCTGGAGCAATTATCCTTGGCCGGCCAAGAGGAGGCTGGCTGTGTAGAGGCAGCTTAAAACTGACCCCCTTTGTCCAAAACAATAATCATACAAATAAATCCGCAGCATCGGCAGTTTAAATTCATAATGTGAAATACATAATTAGATGCGAGTTATTCTCCTCATTGAACAATTGACTGTACACAAGCACAGTCGATTTGTATGTTTAACACAGGCTTTTGTATAATTTTACATGTTTATGCCAAACGACATCGATGAGTGCGTCGTGCCTATTTTCCAGGAGGATTAAACCGACCTCTGTCATTCTTGTGACCTCCAACCTCTTCGGCAGCATCATTCGTATTTGAACAGAAAGGCTCAGTTTTTAAATCAAGAGATAATATGGATGAGACTGGAAAATCTAGATGAAAAGAACAGATTCTTGAGTCGAACGCGATAGTCAATCGTGAAAATTCATCAAATAACCTTTGGGCAATTTGGCTGGGGGCCGGAGGGGGCTGGGGTGGTGGCATAATCACACGCCTAATTTGTACACATAGGTAATTAACCGCAGTATTTTTTATTCTTTTTCCACATGTAACGCTGAGCGGAAAGAGAATATCAAGAAACCCGCATGGGCAAAGTGTAGCATTTAGCAGAGGACTTAAGAGGGGTGGCTCCTCTATTCCCCCGGGGGTCTCTTTTGATGGGATGGAAATGGATTTGGGTACTAATTAAGTCTGATAAATTCAACTTGGGGGGGGGGGGGGAGATAACAGAGAGGGGCACTTGCAGAGAGCCCTAATCCCAGTGCACAGGTGCGAGGGACAGGCCGGCAGTGATTAAGCGCATGGCGCACACGCCAGGATATCTCTCCTAACCCTAATTGTCTCTCTGCAGGAGGGGCACCGTGTCCACGGCCTTATCCAGATTTTCATTGTGCCCCCCTTGTCCCCGCGTTCATCTAGAAATAACTAGATGAATGCAATGCAGCCCGGCTTTATTTTCGTTTTACAAATATTTGCCTTTTTTACGTAGATTGTTGAAAAGGTGAAATATAAAAGGAGGCGTTTTTAGCCGGGGGTAAAATCAGCTCCTCTGATCTAGCACGATTGGCCTACGTACGGTGCAGAAGAAGTTCTACATACATAAATACAGCTCATGCCTCCTCCATGTACTTCAAAGTGCGACGCAGGATCGCACGCGTGGGGTTATGGTATGACTCGGACGTGGGAGTGGCGTGTCCGATTTGAACCTGCAGAGCGTGAAGAAGCTTTAATCGAAAAAAATAATTACGTCTCACAGAGATTGTCTACTTGCGCCGCGGAAAGGTTAAAATAACGAAATGTTTATTTATGCACAGCCATTGAAAATATTAATTATTAGATGACACATTTAATTGGAATGAAATTCCATCTGAGCGTGCATAATGGCTGTAAATTATAGCTGTGGGCACACAGCTGCAGGGACTGCTGACTTTTTGGGTACTTTGATGGAAGTGTGCGAGCCAAGTTAAATCAATAACTGCACGCATCCAATAATTGGCCTCCTCCCATAGTGCCCAACTTCCACTAAAATGCTCCCTATATACGCATCGATGGCCAGTTTACCGGCTCGCAGGCACTATTTAAAGGTGGCAATTAACCCATTCGCCGCTGGGCTTGGGGTTTTCCTGCCTGCTGGCCAGAGCCCAGGATCAGTGTTTTTAACTCCAGTTTAACTCGTGGGTTTGTAAGCTTGATGATTTATTTTGGAGATATCTCCCACGCAAGCTGGGTGGGGTGGCGCAAGTGTACGGTTCCCGGCCACGGCTGAAATCAGCGGCGAGCGATATCCTGAACGACCGCCAACCTGTACTGATCATCTTGGTGAAGTCTGGTCAAATGACAAACGCACTGCAGCGGTGCGACGTCTTGAATTGAATTCCCGACAGTTGGTGCTCGTGATTATTTATTTATTTATTTATTCCTAGCATGTTCATGCGTTTTTTTGGGTTAACGCCAGACTCTCTTCGCACCTGCTGCGTTCACAGGGGGAGGCCGGGACCAAAGCACGGCCATAGAGGGGGGGAGAAGCGGCTCGGACGGGAGGGGCTACAACCGGCAACTCCGGGAGTGTCCGGCGGGATGGCGACGCGCCGTGGCCTGCTGCTTGCCTGCCTGCTCGCCGTGACATCGCCGCTTGCCACCGGTGAGCTTGACTACCAACAATGACGAAGATCCCCCCCCCCCCCCCCCCATTGTAGTCTTGAACAGGCTGTGTGAGAGTACGTAATAATAATGGCCAGCACAGCTCATGAGGGGGTGGGTGTGGCCAGCACCACAACCCGGCCGACTTTAACTCCCCAGTGCTGATGCTTACACAGCACACCATGTTGCGTTGACCTCCGGGGGGGGGGTCAGGATTTGTTCCGATATTTGCCAGTGATATTGGCCGTGGCTGGGCTTTTAGCGCGGCGTTTAATGCACGATGGCCTACCCCAATGAAAGACCCCAATAGGAACGGTCAGAATAAAGGGGGCGCATGCATGCACGATGGTAAACCAACTAAACGCAGACGTGTTGCTGCCTTCCCCTCGCGGTCTGTTTTCTTTCTTTCTCCCGCAGTGGCGTCCGGGCCGGCCGAGTGCCGCATCCTGCGCTGCAACTCCGACTTCGTGGCATCTTCGACGGCCGCCCACACGGCATGGGAGCAGTGCGCGGCGCTGCGCGCGTACGCCCACTGCACACACGCCACCGCGCGCGCCTGCCGCGGCGACCTGGCCTACCACTCAGCCCGGCACGGCATCGACGACCTCATGGCGCAGCACAATTGCTCGCGCGACGGCCCAACGGCACCCACGCCGCCGCACGGCCGGTGAGTGGTCTTGCTCAACCCCAACTCACCCCCCCCCTCCCCCCCCCCCACCCCCCCCCCCCACACGACTCCCGACGCCCCCACCCTTCTCCACCGCTGACCACCTGGTCACTTTTGGCCTCGTCGGCCAATGCAAGTGCATGTGTGTAACCATTCGGATAAAAGTGTGGATCACGATACCGAAATTTTTTTCTTCATTTCTGCCCAAGTTTTCACAAATCTCATCTCAACAAAATTAGAGGAAAGGGAAGATAAATTAGAAATTTCTAAAACACCATAACATTATTACAGTGCCATTTTAGCTAGTTATTTCTCAGGTAGTTAAAAAGGTATTAGGTCATACATAGCTCACCATCAGTACCAGTCAATGACTGTACGACGAAATGATGGTGCCCAGGCAACGTGGCGGCAGTTGTGCTAGTAATGTTCGTATCCTAAGAGATTTTCGAGTCGCTATGATCACATGGACGGTGCGTGGTGGTGACGACAACAGTGTAAATTGTGAGTACGCCCATTCTGAGTGCCGATGCTGGCTGTGGTAATGATGATGCCCACAAATTGCGTCAGCAGTATTTCCGGCCTTCTCTGGTGTGGCCGTAATGATAACGCCTTGGCGCCGCCCATTGTGGTTGTGGTGGTGCTAGCGATCGCGCTCACGTTGGCTTTGCTAATCGTAGCGGTAACGATCGGGGCAATGTTGACACCAACAGTTGCGCCGGTAAGCGACTGCACCCACGCCGGTGCCGATGATGGTTTTCTCTTCCCCCGCCTCTGCCACCATGCGTAGTAATCGCGTGGCGGCTGATTGGGGCCGCGCCGATCCAGGCGTGTGCAGCTACTCGCCGCCAGAGGGCGAGCGCGACATCGTGTACCGCCACTGCGGCCTCTTCGGAGACCCACACCTGCGCACCTTCATGGACGACTTCCAGACGTGCAAGGTGGAGGGCGCTTGGCCCCTCGTCGACAACCCTTACCTGTCCGTGCAGGTCACCAACATCCCCGTGGTGCCAGGCTCCAGCGCCACCGCCACCAACAAGGTGCGCGTGCGGTTGAGTGGGGGAGGTGGGCAGCGGTGGTGGGGATGGTTTGTTGGTTGTCACGTCGTCGCTAATTGTCCGTAGTGCGCAGCTGCGGTCAAGTTCTCTGGGGGCACTGTTTGGTATGCCACCTTGTATTCATGAGGCTTTCTAAACTCCTTAGCTGTAAAGTGGCAGTACAGCAAGTGGGGTTCATGTCCCTGTCTGTGCGTACCCAATGAGCATTGTGACCTTATTCGTTGGGTTTTCTGAGTATTTCACATTGCGTGGGGAGGCCTGCATCTATCAGCGGATTGACAAAGGACTGCAAATTATTGTTACTTAACTTTTTCACATCAACGGCCATTGCTTTAGAAAGCATAATTCCGTTTTTTCTTTTTTCCCTGCCAACATATCCCCCCCCCCGCCCCATCGCGCTCGCAGCTGACCATCATCTTCAAGGAGTACGCGGAGTGCACGGACGTCAAGATGTACCAGGCGGAGACTGACAGTCTGCCGCCGGCGTTCGTCGACGGCTCCAAGAACGGCGGGCCGCGTGACACCACGGGCAGCCTGCGCATCTCCGAGCTGGTGCCCGGCCGCCACGTGGAGATCCAGGCTCGCTTCATCGCCACCACGCTCGTCGTGCGGCAGATCGGCCGCTACCTCACCTTCGCCGTGCGCGCCCCAGCGGCCGTGACGGCGTCTGGCGTCGGCGACACGAACGGCGGCGGCCTGCAGCTGTGCCTCAATGGCTGCCCCACGTCGGAGCGGATTCGCGAGAACGACTACCGCGAGCTGCTCTCGCGAGCCGAGCAACGCGCGCAAAGGTCGCGGGCCGGTGGCGGCGGAGGAGGTTTCGAACCGGCGGGCTTCACGGCTGACTTTGCGCGCGCGAAATGCAAGGAGCGGCTGCACGTGGAAGACCTGTACTTCCACTCGTGCGTCTTCGACCTGCTGACGACGGGCGATTTGAACTTCACGCAGGCGGCGTACAGCGCTTTCGAGGACGTCAAGACTCTCTCGCCCGACAAGGACCGCATCCATATTTACCGAGGCACGAGTGATCCCACGCTGGGGAACGCCGCTCCGGGAAGGCCCCGCGGCGTCACGGGCCCCGTACCGCTCACCTTGGCAATTCTCGCGATTTACTGCAGCGTCCGTGCGTCTCTCTTGTGAATGTTGCTTTTTTGGCGTGAACAAGTTTAGGAAGAAAAGTAATACGATTTACAAAATTGTAGTTTTTTTTGTTTATTTGATTTATTTATATCGTGCGTTCAAAAAAGACGTGTAATATATTGACAAAAATGATGGCAATGTTTGATGGGTGTTTTTTTTTTTCACGCGACCTTGTACATAAGATTATATTGTGGGTGTTTTGTTGTGAAAAAGTAGTGATCTGATGTTCTTTCTGATGTGTTGATGTTAATATTGAACTTGTGGTATTATTAATGGTTGAAACATCACCATTTATTCTCAACGTTTAAAAAAAATGCTGTGTGAAGCTATCGACTACAAAATGGATATTAAAAAGATTTGGACTTTTGAAAAAGAAACTTAAATATAAAAAAAAATCTCTGTTCGAAAACTTTTCATCCACTACACCTTGAGTATTGTTGACTTTTTAAGCTGTGTAGACTACAGAGGTGTTGTGTTGTTGAAAGCCTAGCCATATATGTACATACGTTATTTATTTATGGTCAAAAAGGCCTCTGTCCGTTAGATGTCTGGTAACTGTTCAACAATAAGCTTTGTCTACCATGCCGTCGGGGAAAAGTGCAGTTTGTGGGGAAGGGGGGGGGAGGCACGGGTTAAAGTGAAATAAAATCATGTTCTCTTTGACTTTCACACTCGCGTACTCATTTACACGTGGACTATCAGTGCAATCATGATTACAACAATATGGCCATGATTATGATGCGATGATTCATCGATGAGTAACATCGACTCACGCGTGTGAAGCTTATTTTTCAATTCATATTTGTTGTATCCCAGCGACGTGTCCCGCCCAAGCCCACTTTTCTTAACAGTCAACACGACGTCTTGAACTTCCGTTGATGGACAGCGGTTGAGGATCACCTTTCAGAGACGAGAACTTGCCAAAGTGGCAGTAGTCGACTGCGGAGATGGTTGCGTTTATATTGGCTCGAGCGCAGACGCTCAATAGATTGTTAACATCGTGGGTACCCTGAGCAATGACGCCTGCCTGGGCGAGCTCCTCAGCCAGCAGTGAATTGAGCATGATGGCTGGTGATGCTACAGGGTGTGCTATACTGTACTCTCATCAGTTTGTGGCCCCTGCAGCCACCAGAAATGCTGGTTTTTAAAAAATAATAATAATCTATTTTTGAATTGTGACCCCGATTCGTGCCAATCCATCAAATCGCAAGGGGTTGCAAATATTTTACACGTTTTAATAACATGGTACAGTACCGAAGACTGAAAATGATGAGCAGCCGTGGTGTAATGGTTAGCAGCGCACACTTGACTTGCAATCCAGAGGTCGCCACTTCCATTTCATCTCCCGGCGCGGCAAATGAAACTGGGTTAAGTTTCTCAAATCCACCGCCACACCCCCTCTCCCTCCACACCACTGTCCACCCAGTAGTATAATAAATGGGTATGCCGCAGTTTGCCCATCAGTTGGTCACGTGCGGTGGGGTAAAGTGTGAGTACATGGACAGTAATTATGGTGAAATGCAATCTCACGCGACACTAAACTGCATTAGTGGGTAGCTGTGTGCAAACACGTGTACGCAAGTTTTTACAATGCGGTTAGATTTTTTTTTTAATGTAATAGCATTATCGTGCGTGAATATCTCTGCAACACCCACTCGCATAGAGGGCAATACTCGCACTTGGCTGTGGGGGGGGGGGCTGGTATTCAATCATGGGAAATGTAATTATGTACAGTACATTATAAAGAACATTGTTCAACCATGAATCATTAAGCTTGAAAAAAATTGATAACGTGATTTGTTTCTAACGTGCAGTGGCAAAAAACTGGAATATAATTGCAATGTCATGAAATTATAAATATTGCCTAACAGTTTGAAAAAAAAATGTCCCTCGTGCATATATCCCGTGTTAACGATGTCTCGGCAGCCAAATGGCAGTCGAATAAGAATTCTTTATTTTCCCAGGAAAGCTGCAGCGTCAAGACTTGGAGACATAAAAATACATTTTCCTTGGTTGACCAAGCTATTCGGAAACACTGTTCTTCATTGAAATTGGTGTAGCATGTAAAAAAACCGCATGATTTATAATTTAAAAATGAAATAGTGCCATGGAAATTCCATTACACGTCCAACCATTTGTTTGTGGCTTTTGTATTGGGATGCTGGTTTCATTTCGAGATATATTTTCGGCAAATATTCACTTATTCGCCGAAAAAATTATTGCAATGAAACTCTCCTTAATAATCATTTTAAAAAGCCGTTAAAAAAATTTAATTACAGAATGTGAGAAAGTGGGGTCATGTTTCCTGCAAAGGTTATCCGCTAGTAATGGCTGAGGTCATAGCGATTAAACACGCGCTGCAAAAGCAAACGTGACGGATCCTATCGCAGCAATAGGCTCTCATGCATTTGGAAACGGATATTTAAATCACTTGCAAAATCAAAAAGCGATATATATGTTATCTTATCCCACACGATCGTTTTGAGACATTCCACAATACATGCAACCATATACTTCTGGATAGTACTAACCAACTGTTTTCCATCTTGGAAGCAATTTAAAAAAAAACAATGCGTCGGTTTATAATAACACGTCGAAAAGCAGATGGAACGACACACGGAACTCTCCCAGAGGTGCGACTTTAACACTCCCGTGTGCCCTTCATGGGAAAAGTCAACAGTCCACCGAGCCATCCGAATGACGACAAAAGTCCTATGCTGCCACCATCTGGCAGTGGACAGTAACTAGATGTCAGTTTAACACAGTAGGCTTTCGCCACCAATGTCATCCATAATACAGTTTTTTTTGGGTTAGATCGCGTAAATGTGCCATTATACCCGACATAGCCAATTAGTAAGGTTTGTCACGTAAACAGAACATGCCAGTTCGTTACTAGTACAGCACATCGGTGTATTGGAGAGCCAAGCAACAACATTTACAATGAGTACGACGTTTCGCCAGTAATTACAACTAGCATCAGGCGACAGACAGATTTGCGGAGCAATCCTCCCGTTGTGTTCCTTAGATAGAGGGATAGATGTCATAACTGAATGCGTTTGCAATTTTCAACACTAGATGGCTTAGTTTTCAGTTTATTTATTTTGGTATAGCCCTGTGAGCGATTCGGCTCTTGAATCGGGTGCAACCACAACAAAAAACAAAAACACGAACAAGAAAAACATCTTAAAGTGACTATGTGACTGTGCAAACAGAAAATCCATGGGAAAAAAACCAGCAAAAATATTCCTGAAAAAAGCACCGTACACCAACGCTGTGTGCAAAAAATCCCAGTGGGATGCAAGTCAAACAACAACAACCACAAGAAAACTTAGATTAAGGCCATCAGTCTAACTCCGTACTACAACAAAACAAACATGTCCAAACCAAAAAACGTTTTCGAAATCAAAAAATAAAGCCATAATTGCAACGTAACAGTGATCACAGGGACTGTGACCGAATTTTTACAATAAACTACATAAATAACATGTACTTGGGGCTGATTTATACACGATGTCACAGTAGTCAAGTAGAGGCAGTATGGTAGCTTTTATCAATTCCAAACGGAACATTGGGGGGAAGCAGTGCTTGTGTCGATACAGAAAACCTATTTTTATTTTTGTCTTTTTACCAATATAATCAATGTGATCTTCAAAATTCAGTTTTGAATCCAGGATGACCCCAAGATACTTATAGATCTTGACTTGCTCTATTTGATAATTATTTAAGGAATGTAATTGGGGAAAATAACTTCCTGCTTTAGTCCTGGTGAGAAGCATAGCACATTGGTTTTGGAGGTATTCAGGACTAGTTTAAGAGCAACTAGCTGATGTTGTAGTTTGTTGAAATCACCCTGTAGCTTAGCAATCACGTCATCCGGAGAGCGGCCAGCAGTAATCAGTATCGTGTCATCAGCAAAAAGATTTACCCTGGAATGATCCAGGTCAGTGCCCAAGTCATTGACATAAAGAGAGAACAAAAGGGGGCCGAGGATGGAACCCTGTGGAACCCCTTTTGTTATCTTAACACTGTTTGACCTCCAACCATCTGTGAATACAGTTTGGGTGCGAGAAAAGAGGTAATTTTGTAACCATTTTACTGCGTTTTCAGAAAAACCGAGGCAACTTAGTTTACTAAGCAGGGTGTTGTGGTCTACTGTATCAAAAGCTTTGGACAGGTCTAGAAAAAGACAGGCACAGTACTGCTTATTATCAAGGCTACTGTAAATGTGATTCAGAGAGTCTAATGCAGTAGATGTGCTGCTGTATTTTTTTCTGAACCCAGATTGTTTTAGATGTAGTAGATTGTTGGTGGACAGGAAACTGCTAATTTGGTAGGTCAATAATTTTTCACAAATTTTCATCAACGGGGACAAAATTGAGATAGGTCGGTAGTTATTTGGATCATCTTTAGGGCTCCCTTTGTGAAGTGGACGGACATAGGAACGTTTCCATTCTAGAGGAACTGATGCTTCTTTGATGGACAGGTTGAAAATATGGGCTATAGGTTTGTATATTAGGTGACCAACAGTCAGTAGAGCAAAGACGGGAATACTATCTGCTCTGGTAGAGGAGGACCCTTTGAGGTAGGACAGTTGTTTCAGAGCATTATGTTCGTTTAATGTTTGGACAGGGGTGTAGGAATTTGCATGAGCAGGGGTGACTCCCAATACATTATCAAAAAGATTACCAGCTTCACAAAAATGAAGGTTAATATTGTCAACTATTTTTTTGGGATCTGAAAAATATTCCCCATTTGGTTAAGCTCAACAGGCAGATTTTCTATTTTGGATGCCTTTTCGATATATTTTATTGTTTCCAAAAAATCCTGGCATTTCCATGTGATTCCAGGAGAGTGGAGGAAAAGTAGGAATTTTTTGCATGCCGTATTTTTTTGATGCATCTATTCCTTAAAACCCTGTATTCTAGCCAGTCATTGACCAAATTACTTTTCTGAGCACATGCCCAAGCCTTGTCCCTAGTTTTCATGAGCTTTGTAATCAAAGGATCAAACCATGGTGGGCGGTTGCCTTTAGTTTTAAATCTAACCAACGGAGCATGTTTGTTAAGAATTTGGAGAAACGTGGACCTGAAGGTCTCCCAAGCCGTAGCCAGGTTGGGGATATCACAGACCTTGTCACTATCCGAGTGAAGCACATCATTAGTAAATGCCTGAGTGCTGAAGTGTCTCAGAGTGCTTCTCAACCAATTTATGGGGGGCTTTGGGTCTGGCTGATGATCTCACCCCAAAAATGAAGGCGTGATCACTAAGGTTATTATCCAGAACACCAGTGTGAAATTGTGAGGGGCATTTGTTAATAGGACATCAAGCAGAGATGACTGTCCCGGATTTTTTAGGTTGGGTCTTGTGGGGACATTTATTAATTGAAACAGATTAAATTCATCTGCAAAATTTGTGGCCACGGCCGGCGGGTTTAGCCAATTCCAATTTAGATCACCCACTAAAACTATTTCACCTTTAGGGAGGCCCCCAAAAGCTCTCTCAGTGCAGATGCAGCTTCAACATCCTTCCCACTAGGCGGTCGATAGCAGCACACTACCAATATCTGTTGATTATTTGGGAGAGTTATTTTGAGAGCCAGACCTTCAAAGCAACATTTTTTAAACAAGGAGTGAGTTATATTCTTGGTTCTTTCGGTGAAGTCACGTTGAAGGGAAACAATAAAATAATAAAATATACATAAAACAATGAAATTCTCACGACGTTTCGACTGAAACACAAGCAGCCATCATCAGGTGTGAAAACCAACGGCAAGAACATTTGAAAAAAAATACAAACCGCCACTTCTTTAAAATGTTCTTGCCGTTGGTTTTCACACCTGATGATGACCGCTTGTGTTGCAGTCGAAACGTCGTGAGAATTGTATTGTTTTATATAGATTTTATTATTTTATTGTTTCCCTTCAACGTGAATTTACCGAAAGAACCAAGAATATCAATCACTGCAGTCACGAAAGCTTTAAATCAAAATTTAAGGAGTGAGCTAGTGAATATGCAATAGTATTACGAACATAGATGGCAATTCCACCTCCTTTAGATCCTCGGTCAAGCCGAAAAAGGTTGTAGTTGTCAATCGCAATCTGCAAGTCATTGACGGCAGGAGTGAGAAATGTTTCTGTTAGGCAAAAAATGTCCGGGTCAAGATTTGCCACTTCTAGTTTTAGTTGACTTAATTTAATCACAAGCCCTCTGATGTTGACATGTAGAACACCAACACCTTTCCTGCCAGAAAAATCTACAGAATTATACGAGTAATTTTCATTTGGGCCAGGATGAAGCTCAATACCACCCAGAAATAAGAAAAGTAGAATTGCCTAAGTATTTTCTGTGAAAGGATGAAGAGCGGCGAACCTTGGATGAATAGCAGTAGCTCGCAGATGGTGTTATTTTTAAGAGCAGAATGAAGTTTGGAAGGAGTGCTGGTGAAGTAATGGGACAAAGATAGGGTTCAAAAGGATACAATGATGGAGTGTAGAAGTCTTAATAAGCTGTTTCATTAGCAGGTGTAGTGGCAAATCGAGCAAGTATGGACGCAAAGAAACGAGGGTAGCTGTTTGTAGAGTTGAGTGTGGCACTAGATACAGTGAGGGAAAAAAGTATTTGATCCCCTGCTGATTTTGTACGTTTGCCCACTGACAAATAAATGATCAGTCTATAATTTTAATGGTAGGTTTCTTTGAACAGTGAGAGACAGAATAACAACAAAAATCCAGAAAAACGCATGTCAAAAATGTTATAAATTGATTTGCATTTTAATGAGGGAAATAAGTATTTGACCCCTCTGCAAAACATTGACTTAATACTTGGTGGCAAAACACTTGTTGGCAATCACAGAGGTCAGACGTGTCTTGTAGTTGGCCACCAGGT